CAAATGGTTATGCCTTATTTTTTGGTGCTTCAGTCCTTTAATCCTCCAACTCAGAAAGCAAATTTAACGAGGGCTGTGGCGATAATGGAATTGTACGAGAGAGACAATAATGAAGCAGGACTCACCGTTGATAACTATTGGAAAAGAAATATGGATTCTGCTTTATTGTTTCACACAATACCTTTAGTGAAAAAGTACCTCTTTGTTGAAACAACGAGCATCTCATGTGAAAGACTGTTTAGTCATACTGAAACAATTCCCAATGAATCTCGTGCTGAAATGGATCCATCTAAGGTTGCTAAATTTACTTTAATGAAATATCATTATTAAAGTTTGTTATTGTTTTATGTTTTAAACATAATAATTAAATAAAAATATTAAAAAACAAAACTCATCATAAATAATAATGGCATCTGTCTGTTTGTATGTATTAGTATCGGTTTTGAAAACAAATTTTGGTGCATCAAAGAAGTTTTTATCGTGTTTTTAGAGCTTTAATTTGGCAAATTAGTCGGTTTGTAAATACAGAAAGGGTTATCGGGTTTTTAAAACCGATGACTTTTCCATTTTTAGTTATAACGAGAAAAATAATTGTTGTTGCGCTGAATAACAATTGTTTGTATCCATATTTTTTAATGTAAATAATTGGTTATGTTATGTTTGTTTTCAAAATAAATGATTACACTTTTGTTATATATTTTATTCAAATCTTTTTGTTTTTTTGAATAAAGAAAAAAACACAAAATTGTTTTTGCCTTAAACAAATAAAAAAAACCAAAAGTATTTTAAATCAACACAATAATAACAAAATATTTTAATTGTTCAAAACAAGATTAAAATTGTTCGGTTTGTAAATGATAATTTGAACCGTAAACTATTTTGCCTCAAATTCGCAGTTAACTATATATTATAATATTAAAAAATAGATATAACAAATTTCCTTGTTGAATTTTTGAAATGTGGTTAATTAGAAATCAGACTTTATATAAAATCTTTTTGACAAAAAGTCATACTAAAATCACCACAAAATTCTTCCTTAACAACAATAATAAAGTTACCAAAATATTCATTGGTATCAATTAGAATATTTTCACAAATTTAAGGTAAAGTTGACATTATAAATAGTTGCTTGTATTCTTATTATTCAGACAAAAATAAAACAATTTCTAACAGAAAAATGGTAAAAACGTGGATGTTATTCAAAAGTAATACATTAAAACAAACTTAAAAAAGAAAATAAAAATAAAATTTTTTGTTTAATTGTAATTGCATACTACCAAAAAACGTTCTTTCTTTTATTGGATATGACATCTTATTTTTTTGATAGAAAAAGACGATTCTCAATTGGTTGTTGTTGGTGATATCGAGGTTATCTAAGAAAAAAAATGTTATTAATGGAAATTGTTTGAATGAATCAATTAAAAAATCATTCATATCTTTAAAACCTTAATGTTCTTTAAGATTTGAAGAATTCATTATCTCGATTACTACATGTCTATCGAGAGTACTTTTATATCTTTCAAATTCTATTTGAAGAAAATATATCGGACATATGTTATACCAAGTAATTATTCACCAAAATTATTAAAAAAATGAACAAGGTATTATTAAAACATCATCTATTTGTTTTTCTTGTTTTCCATAACGAGTGTTATAATCGTTAGTTGAACTTACAAAATTTTTGTAATCAAGGGAACGATCTACACATACAAATCGAATTTTAAATTCAAAGTAGAGTGTAAAAACAGTTTCCAAAACCATTTTTAAATAATCTACTGTCAAAGATGTTTTGTTTTTTGTGATATAATTATTTGTTCTTTTAAAAGATATAGGAATTATTCCACTCGCCATATTATTATAATATTCACACAAATTATATTTGAATTGATTAATATACCTCACTGTTCTTGGCATTAACAGTCTTTTTGTTTGAAGTTTTCTGTTATATATGTTAAGTTTTTCGAAAATATCAGATAAAAACGCCAGATATATTCTAAATTTATCAAAAACCAATGTGTTAAGTATCTCATCAAAAGACCAATGTTTAATCATTTAAAATGAATGAGATACTCTATTAAGATAAAAACACACCTGATCATAGTGTTCATAGAATAATATTAACATTTCTTTTCTGCTTAACCATCTTACTTGGTTGTAAACTTTTAATTTAAACTCGTTTCCTGTTTCTTTTTGCCAGAAACGAAAAGCGTTAGAATATTTAAGTGTTAATGTTATGGCGTTAATCATTTCGACAACAAGTGACGCCAAACCATTATTGACGATTGGTGAACAACAAAGAGATTGTCTGTTTCCAATACACCAAAATGAAGTTACAGGAAATATGGGTTTTATCAAGTAATTTATTTCATTGATAAGCATAACCACACAACTATTTTTCTTCTATCCAAGATTACTTCCCCCATCTGAACAAATAGAAGAAATGCTTTTTATATCAAGACAATTATTTTTAATTAAATCGAGAACTTTGTCTTTAATTTAAACTCCTGTGCTTTTACCATAGACCCAAAATACACTTAGTAAATATTGACAAACTCCAAAACTACAGTTTAAAAATTATACAAAGAGTACATAATTCTTTTCTCCAGCAATTCTTGACTCATCTAATTGAATTGAATAAAATGTATTTAGGGGAATATATAAATAACCTTTGTTAACTATTCGAGTGCATATTACAGCAAAATGCCTTCTCATTGTTCTTTCGCTTAGTTGAATGTGAGTGAGTATCTCTGATCCGTATATTTTTATATAACTTCCAATTAGTACAATTATTGTTTGTATTGTAGGTGCACAGGTCAATCTAACATTATTTTCACATAAAGTTTCAATGATTTTATCCGCAAGATTACAAGTTATTTCTGGTGTTATTTCTTTGTATTCATTAGTGTTCAAGTTAAAATTTAAATTTCTCTCTGCACAAAATAAGTTCACTTTAGCTTTGAGTATTCTATCATTGTTTTTTAAATTTGAATGCGACTTGTTGAAGTGAATATAAACTTTACTTTTTTTCATTACTTCATTACAAAGCATACAAGTATAAACTCTATTGAGTTCATAAAACATGAAAAACGTGTTAATCGACATCCTATTTTACAATTTGAGTTTTCGTTTAATTATTCAAAAAAAATATTTGTTTTTATTTGATTTGAATTCAAAATGTGTTATATTTAAATTTATAACTTAATGTATGTGGTAAATAAATTTTAATTATCAATGTTTTACTGTAAAATAAAGCAAAAATTATAAATGGTAAATATTTTGGAAAAACATTCATTTCGTGGAAAAAACTAAATTTTGGAGCCTCCTGGGTACGTCGGCGAGTTAAACATAAAGTTTTAATAATAAACAAAAATATATGTTTTTCTTGTCTAATTTTTGTTGTATTGTTCCTTTGTTCTTAAAATACAAAACAACGTGAACATTGTTTGAGTAGTGTACATTATTGATGTAGGTATCCTATTATTTTTTTTGATAACAAAAAAGGCGAATTTGCCTAAGAAAATAATCACAACAAACATGATTGAAGATGTTTATCCATGAAAACCATTATCATTTATTAAAATAATTTTAAATGTGATTTTAATTTCTAAACATCACCAATTAGGTAAATAAATTTTATTTAACTTAAAAATAAACAACATGGAACTTACTAATGGAACAATAAAAGAACATCCATACTCACGTTTAAATTATTTAGATGAAAAAACTCCAAACCAAATTACAATAAAACGAGCTAGAGAAATAACGAATGATAGCATTGTCATAGTACCAAAAGAAGACCCAGAACGAGATATTGTTTGTAAAGTAATCAATTATACCAGAACTAAAACCGGTAAATTAGGTATGCCAAAAATAACAATAACTGCTATAGGTGTTTTTGATAGAAATACTTATGAACATTTTTTTTATCAGAATCAGTCGATCTGTTTTGTTGAATTGCTGTATACAAATTATAATATTGTCGATACCAAAGATGGGTTTTTGTCTCTTGTAAATAATAACATGAACTTAAGAGAAGATGTAAATATTCCTCCAAATGACTTAGGAAATTACATTATTGAACATTTACAAAAAGGAGAGATGGTAATGTGTAAAGTTGCAACATTCGGGAATTTCGATGATGTTGTTGAAGCCTGGGTTGAAAATAGTTAAAAACGGTTTACCAGTTATTAATGAAGTACTTATGAAGTAAATAAACACACTGTTTTTGTGTTGATTTTACATTTTTGAATGAATTGTTAATAAAATTAAAGTAAATTAACTATTTTTAAAAATAAATAAAAATTAAAAAGTATTAATATATTTACTATACCACAAATTGTTGTTTGTAATAAAAAAAACTTAAAACATTTTAGATTTTTTTAATGTGTTTTTAAAAATATTAAGATAAATGATTTAATCTCTTAATTAACTTTTTTATCATTTTTAATTATTTCAAACAACTAGTAAAAACTAATTTAAAAAACTATAATATTACTTTTTAATGAATAAAGTTCCAAATACATATATAACATAATAGCTGTTCGGAGGCTTTACATTTTCTTTGAAAATCGCCGACTTTTCAGTGGTCTTAAAAGTCGCTAACCTAAATATTTAGTTAAATAACTATTCGAAATACCATTTATCATTTAAAAGATATTAAAAAAATAAACCATATTAATTTGATTTAATTATCATTAAAATAGAAATGAAAAAACACCATCCCAATTATATCTTCTCAAATCATTTTTTAAATTATATTTATATGATTATAATATAACAAATTATAACAATTATTGTGTTTTTACACATTTTTGAGACAATAATGAATATGGTATAATTTATTAAAGTTAATAGTTATTTAGTTCTAAAAGAAGTCGGCGACTTTTGAAAGGATCCAAATAGTCGCCGACTTCTCAATAATATAATAAGTCGCCGAACAGCCATAAATAGAATGAAAAACTAGTAAAATTTCTTTCTATAATTATAATTAAATAACTATAATATATAGCAGATATATTTTATATTATACTTTATAAATACTTTATTAATGATTATTAGAATTTATTAGTAGTACTAGCGACGTACTAAAACGAATTAAACAACCCACAAAATGTTCTTATTCGACAAAACCATGAATTAGACAACGACACAAAGACCACAACAACACTTTTTCTTCCTGATTTGAGTGTGTGTCTGTTGTGGGATAATATTACCGGCACCCATTACCGGTCTATTTGAATTAATTTCCATTCTTCTCGTTGGTTGCCAAGGAGGGTTCTCATAATAAGTCTCTCCCGTCTCGTCACACGTCTTTCTTTTAAGAAGTCGTCTGTACTTGTCTGCACTCTCACAGTCCCACTTCACACAATATGTGGGCGGGTCAAATGGATGCTCCTCAAAGTAAGCCTTAGCCCGCGCATTCCCTCCCAAACGCATCATCGCAAACTGATTTGGTTTGAAGACGTCGAGTGTCAATGAACGCACAAAAGAAATGTGAACCCCATACCCACGGTGGGACCCCGCACATGCCAAACAGAGATATACTCCATTATTTACTGAACACCACGTCGGGTTGATTTTGCCGCAATCAAAACACCTCTTTGTGTTATTTTCTCGATTGTTGTTTTATGGAATTAATACTATTAATATACTAATAAGATACTTATTATATATAATATAAATTAATACTATTAAAATAAGAATTTTAATAGTATTTTAATAGTATTAATTATATAATATAATATAATTAACCATTTTATTAATTTAATTACTATCTGATTTTACTTTTAAACTAGTTTGTAATCTATAATAAAATCATTAATGTATTCTAGTAATTTGTAATATAAAGGATTAATTAAAGTAACACAAACATTGTTCTCAGGGTCTTGTAATTCCTTCGCAAAAAAAGCGGCTTGTGCGCTGTCGTTTGTCATCTTTTGGAGTTATTTAGTTTTGTTTAAATAATCCGTTTTGCTTTCCTCATCATTATTGTGATTATAGTTAATTAGTTATTCTTTTTTTAATAACTTATTTATGATTTAATATAAAAAAAATATACAAATATTATATTAGAGCTAGATTCTATTTTATGGTTTTAATTTGTAAATAATAGTAATTTTAGTATAATAAAAATTATTAATTATCACAATAATAAATAAAAACTTTAAATTAAGTTTTTATTATTATTATAATATATTATAGTTTTTTATTATTTATAAATTATTTTAATTAATTTTAATAAATAATAAAACAATAATTATTCAATTATTTTTTTAATTACTAGATATGATCAATATTTTTTAAATAAATTAACGAGTTGATAATAACAAAATATTGTTTATAAATATATAAACTATTTAACATAAATTATAAAAAACAATACTTTGAAAGATCTATTCGTTAAATAAAAAATAGTTTTAATTTAATTAAACAATCAACTCTAAAACCAACACAACCAAAATAACATGTTTTCGTTAAATCACATCGAAGGTCTAACTCTCTCAGACCAAAACGAAGATATCGACCGAAGACTTTTTCAAGAACATTCCCAAGTTGTGAGTATACTTTCCTCTTTTCCTCCAATGACTCAATTATCGGTGCAAGCTGACATGCCAAACCGAAAGGTTGTGGTGAAAGGGAGTCATTTTGACAAA